TTAGACTGTATGGCCGTAGTCCGTAGGGCGATAAAACATTCTGGTTATTGCATTCAAAAGTTCGTGCTATCTGAAGTTCGGTGATTAGATTTTTTTAAATTGTTGCTTATCTTTCAACAGGAGGATGAAGGAGAAGATGACTAATTGAACACTGATGGATTCCAAACCCCCTTTTTACCTTTTTAATTTTTCCGCCCCGGGGGGAAATTTGTTTTTTTTTTTTTTTTTTTTTTTTTTTTCTTGTGCTCAGTCGCCTTGTTCTCTTGAGGTCTCTTTTTCTCTCCTCTACACCATGGTTCACAGTTTATTTTGGGGGAAATACCTTGAGCAGAATACAGTGGAGAAGAATCTACCAGTTTCTGTTTCAAGTTCATTTTTATCCCTTTCTGTCTCAAAACAAAAACTGTTTATGGAATCAACACACCATGTTCTGTGGGAAAAAAGAAAACCTTCTGCTCCCTTCACTCTGCTGGAAGCTGAAGAGTGCTAGGCCCCTGTGTAGTAGTGCATAGAATCTAGCTTTTTTCCTTCTTTCTCTGTATATTGGGCTCAGAGATTACACTGTGTCTCTATGTGAATATGGACAGTTAGCATTTACCAACATGTATCTGTCTACTTTCTCTTGTTTAAAAAAAAAAGAAAAAACTAAAAAAAAAAAAGGGGGGGGTTATAGAAGGTCAGCTGGGGTGGGTTTCAGATGTTTGGGTGGGTTAAGTGGGCATTTTGACAACATGGCGGCTTCTCCTTTGGCATGTTTAATTGTGATGTTTAACAAACATCCTTGCAGTTTAAGATGACACTTTTAAAATAAAATCTTCTCCTAATTATGACTTTGAGCCCTGCCACTTGATGGAGAATCAGCAGAACCTGTAGGATCTTATTTGGAATTGACATTCTCTATTGTAATTTTGTTCTTGTTTATTTAGTTGTTTTTTTTTTTTTTTTTTTTTTGTTTCACTGGAAAGAAAAGAAAGATGCTCAGTTTTAAACGTTAAAGTGTACAAGTTGCTTTGTTACAATAAAACTAAATGTGTACACAAAGGGACTGGTTGGTCTTCACTAAAAGAAAGTTTTAATATCCTGTTTTGAACTTGCTTGTAGCTTCTTGGCATTTTTGGGGGCATTTGGTCAGTATTTATGTAGTGCAATGCAACCTTGTGGTTGCGTGGACTGATCATGAGTTCATTTAGTTTCCACTGTTTCAGTACTTGTAAAATGTTTCATTTGATGGTTACTACTGCACACTCTTGTTTCTTGAATTACCTAACTCTGTAAGACAGGGCTGTAGGTGCATACGCCTTGTGTGAAGGCAGAGGTTTATACTCATGTTTCGCAAAGAGAAAAATCACTTTATTCTTAGATACTCTTTTTTTTTTTAGGTAGTTACTTGCAGCACTGTATTTCCAGTAAATCAGTTTGCATGAAAGTATCATGCAAACTCAGAATAAAAAGATCAAGGGGTCTTGTAATAAGATTTGGGTGTTTTTTGTGAGTCCGTTCAGTTGAAAATAAATCTTAAGTGCAAGCTAATTTTGGGGCTATTTCAAAGAGCAAGATTCTTAGCAAAGCTTGTGTATAAAGTTGCTGCTCCACTGCTTTCTTTGCTTGGTAGCAGCATGTATATATGCTTTGGATATACTGTACTCTTCTTCATTTTGAGAGACTGCATTTGAGTAGCTTGTAACAATTTCACATAGAGGTTGTTGGTACTGGTATTCCACAAAGTGTAATGAAAGTTGTTTTAACATGTTGTGCTTTTGAAATATTTTCAAAAATGTTGTATCAGCTAATCTAAAATTCAAACAGCTAGTTCTCTTTGGATGTGTAGAAAAGACTGTCTTCTGGGAAGACTTGCTGTTATATTCTCTGATTCCTTTTCATCACAGAATTTGCTATAGTCAAATTCAGCTTTTTTGATGCATTAGAATACACTTAGCAGAAGAAGATTAATCTCTATTTGAGACATGCCCAAATATCATGTGTGTGTGGGAAACATTCTGTAAGTGTCTGGTCCAGCTTGGATTCAGTCCAGTTATCGGGGGCAATACAACATCCAGTCTGCATGTGGTCAATGCGAAAATAAGGCAACCATTTACTTTATTCTTTCTCAACAAAAGCTTCTGCCCTGATCCTGCTTGCAGAGCAAAATAAAATGTTAATTGGTAATGGTTTCTTACCATCTAAAGAGAGAAGGAACAAAACCTATAAGTCTATATAAATTTTAGATTTTTTTTCATTTGATTCCATTTTGTTGTAAAATTGAAAACTGCTTCTTGTTTTGGTAAAGGATCGATGTGCTATTACTTGCCCTGATGCCTCATTACTTCTATGTATTCCAAACTGACTAGTTCTTCAAGGAAAAGTTTTTTGGTTTGGTTTTTTTTTTTCCCTAGTCTTTAATGGTTTAGGAAAAATACTGTGCCATTGTTGTTACACCCCTGTTGGTTACTAGCAGAAAACCTATAAAAACTGTTTTGAAAGTAATCAAAGCTTCAGGTTCTTTAAAGTTAAGTACCATCAACAAGAAATGAGAAGTCTGGATAATGAAATGCTACTTCTAAGAGGTTTCCTCGCACGTTCTTTAGGATTTTACAGGGTGCCAAACCACTCTTGCTACGATACTGATACACTGAATTTCCTGTGAAACTTAAGGGTTTACTTCTGGCAATGGCTGAAGAGTAAACTAACATGCTAAAAGAATAAAACCATAATTAAGTGTAATCTTTTTTTCCTAGCAATGGAAATTAGTAGGGATTCGCACATTGCTCTGCAACACAGCAGAAATACTACAGATGGCCATCATGTGCTCTGACTGTTCACTTAATGTCTGCGTTGGCTGAATATATGTAATGGGTGTCCATTTTTACTTGATTCAATTTGTATATGCAAATAAGCATATAGAGCATTTAAAGGTAGATGTCCACCTTGGATAAGAACAGGAGATTCATGCTTGTTAAACACGTCTGTATCTCTCATTAATTCCCCACTACTGCTGGAGTTCCTCACATCCAGTTAATCCTGCTGAGTGAAATTTGTCACAGGCTTTGTGGCCTGAATTTTCAGGGTTAAGAATATAGCGTTGGCAGCAATTTAATAAAGGTGAAGCTACTGGGCTGGGGCTGTATGACTTAAATGATTCAAAGGTTATTTTTATTTTAAGTTTGAAGTTTAATTGCTATAAAATGGAATCTTTTGTCTGTAATTTCTAGTGCCAAAGGAAAGCAAATATATCCGTGTGTAAATAGAGTTAGAAAGGTTTGGATTTTTTTTTAAAACAGATAATCTGTGTTCTTATTCATACTTGTCAACATAGTTTTTGTCCCTGTAAACAAGCATTATCTGAATCGATTTCTCAGTCATTTATGCCATTCATTTGAATCTGTAAGCTTCTCTTTGTACCACACTCAAACAGGTGCGTAACGATAGTACTTTGTCTATTGGATACTGTTCCTGAATTTTGAAGCAGTGATTTTTTTTTTTTAAAAAAACTGAAATCAATTAAATAATTTCTCTGATGTACCTTCAAGCTATCCTTCTCTTTGAAGGAATTAAAGTACATTTAACTGTTACTTGATGTCACCACCTCTAAGAGTCTTTTTCAAAAGAATCCGTTATTAGTCCCAAACTTGGCATCAGCTTTCACGGGTGAGGCTGAGAGTGCTCACTTCTCTTTCACGGATGTCAGGTGCCCAGTGCGATAAGAGTCACAGGAGGTCACAAGTGGCTGTGGAACAAGACGCTTGATTCCTCTGGGGAACAGATTTACACTTGCCCTCCTCCTTGCTTAAAAATGGGAACTTAGTAAGACTTTTCCTCTCGATCATCACCTTCTCCAAGTGACTGGTGGAGGGAGCCCTGGGCGGTCCGGGAGCTGCGGCAGCGCCCCCC